GCGCGCAAGCGCTGCAAGGAGGGAGCAGCAGCAGCAAACGTGCAGCACGAGGCGCCGCGGCGCCCGCCCTCGCCGGGGCGCTCCGCAACGCCCCAAGCCCCGTGCCCTTAACGTCCTTAAATCCGGCCSTGCCGGGCACCGCCGCTCAGCCGCGAGGGGCCGCGCGACCCGAGAGGCTCCTCGGGGCTTTGCCCGCAGACTGACGCCCGGTTTCGGAGCCGCATCCCGCAGCCCCGGCGCGTCGCTGGGACGGAATCGGGCACCTTTCTGCTGCCGCTTTGCTCGAGCAAGCCGGCTGGGAGCAGGAGCAGGAACAAGGGGTGGCTGCGCAGCCCAGGGGGGCAGAAGGGCGGCCGGGAGCGTGGGGACAGCGTGGGGACAGCGCGGGGACCGCGCGGGGACAGTGCGGGGACAGCGCGGGGGGCAGCGCGGGGACAGTGCAGGGACAGCATGGGGACAGTGCGGGGACAGCGCGGGGGGACAGCGCGGGGGGACAGCGCCGTCCGCTCCGGGCCCCGCTCCACGCGGTGCAGCCGCGCACCCGATGGCGCCGGCGCAACGAGAGCCAGAGCCCCTGCAGCAGGGACGGCCCCCGGGCCGGGGGACACGAGTCGCAGCCGCAGAGCGGAGCGGCGGCACCGACCGGCCCAGAGGAGCTCGGCGGGGCAGGGCCGGGCTGAGCACCACGAGAGCAGCGCAGCGACGAGACAAGCGAGTCGGGCAGACTCGTCACAGAGCAGGAGGCGCGCAGGCACCCCGAGCGGCTGGGCAGGACAGACAGGGCCGGCGCCGGCGCCGCTGCCCGGGGCTGCTCCCAGCGGCACACGGGGACGAGGCCACGGGGGAACCCGGAGCTCCGCCGGGGACCAGGGAGGGACCCGGAGCTCCCCCGGGGACCAGGGAGGAACCCGGAGCTCCCCCGGGGACCAGGGAGGAACCCGGAGCTCCCCCGGGCTCCCAGGGAGGGACCCGGAGCTCCCCCGGGCTCCCAGGGAGGGACCCGGAGCTCCCCCGGGCTCCCAGGGAGGGAC